CCCTGCCCAGGGATGACACATTTGTGTCTCTGAACCAACCAACCAACCAAACCTGTCTTAGCGGTTAGATCTAGCTTTAGGGTAAGCACATCTACTTTGACGGGTGCGAGGAGATCTGTTGGATCGCATCCGGGTTGTCCGGCATCATGGTCTCCCTTTCAGAGGACATAGCCCTTAGACAAGTGGCTGACTTAACCCCTAAACCCTAAACCCGTCCAAAGAACATAGCCTATACCAAATTGCGAATTTGTCCCCTAAGCACGCCCGAATAGGTGAACAAAAGAACCCCTTCAAAAATCTGAGGACATCCAAGGGATTAACATTACTTGTAGGGTCACACCATCATCATTAGCAGTGTCTCGCCGTCGATGCCCTCCAGCACTGGCTGTCATGCATCAAAGCATCAGCACCATACAGTGTCATTACATCGCTTTGAGTTGTCGTCAGGATAAGTTAGAGCCACCCTGAACCCCGAACCCTAATCTTAATAATTCCTATAGCCTGTCCCCTAAACCCCAAGCCGGCCCTAATTAATCCCTAAAACCCTGAAGCCTGAAGCCTTTAAGAATTAAGCCCTGATCCCAGGGATTCGCATGCCTCCGTCAGCGCTGCTGAGAAAGACTCGGCGACATCGCGGTTGGCTTCGACGAAGCAGATCCGATGTAGACTGAGGAAGAGATCGTAGGGTTCAGGCTTTAGGGTTTAGGGTTCAGGCTTTGGGTGTGTACCTAGACCTCCCAACTAGCCACTAATATACCAAACACTGTTACGGACTATAAGTGGTTCCTTTAAAGGGCCCTTGAGGGTGCTGGTAGGGTTTAGGGCTTGGGGGTTTAGGGTTTGGGGGTTTACGGGTTGGGGCTTTAGGGCTTGGGGCTGGGGGTTTAGGGTTTAGGGACTTGGGGTTTTAGGGTTTCGGGGTTTAGGGGTTTAGTGGCTTAGGGCTTGGGGGGGAAGGGGTTTAGGGTTTAGGAGGTTGGAGAGGCATGACTGCAATCCTCACGGCTTTAGGATTCATTGAGGGGATGATCAGACGTCCGCCAACACTGCAGTCTCGTCATCGATGCCGCCAGCGCCCCCGTCAGAAACACTGTAGCACCAGACTCCACCTAAACCCAACCCTAAGTGCAGCAGTCTCAACTCCAGGCATCCGTGATGCGTTAGCCACAAATAGACGCACTCCGACTGTATCTACAAAGAATATACCTGGGCTTTGAAGTGCTTATATTGCAACCCCCTTAAGTCCCGGGTATCTACTACATATGACATATGGACATGGAGGCTCGGGGCAATAAAGCAGGTGTAGCAGACCACAACACAGGGTTTGCGGTAGACCAGGTCATCTCAGGGGTTGCAGGTTTATCACCCTTAGCCTGCATCATACGCGCGTGTCCGTGGATGGAGGCCGTAGTTGGACTTGCACCGCTTTCTTTTTCAAGCTGTGGTTGGACCTTGGTTTCGTCTGCTAGCTTGGCTTTGCACTACTGTCGAGGAAAACAGCTTTGTTGCAAGGGCAAGGAGCACGCCTGCAGAACAGCTCCCGCAGAGCACTTTGGGAAGTTTTGTCAGCATATATGAACCCATAACTTTTAATCCTTAAACCCCAGTACGCTGAGAAGCCAAGACATCTAAACGGCCAGATAGGCCACAACCCCAAAAGCCCTGACAAGCCGCAAAGCCAAAGTAAAGAACAACCACGCTCGTAGAATCCATACTGTGAGGCCAAAGTATGTGCTTTCGAATAAACCCTAAACCCTCTAAACCTTAAAACCCTAAACCCTAACACCCTAAACCCGAAGCCCCATGTAAGCACATGGCGCCCGTCTAAGGCTTTCTAGACCCTCCATCTACCCTCTGCTGGAGACCCTGGTTACCCATTATTTAGGAGCATAGACCCCTGTTTGAGGGTACAAGGA